TCAATTATCGCTAATTACATACAAGAAAAAATGTTCAGCACTCAGCTGTAAAAGAAATGTCATATAAGAAACTACATCGTGCAATAGGCCTAAGCAGCAGGAAGTGGGTAACTTTGTCACTCAGACAAAGGATGCAAAAGGGATCCAGGTAGGTCATGCTTAGGACATGTGTGCCACAAAGAAGTGTTTTGTAATCATGCTGCCAGTAATAATGGTAATATTACTTTTCAAATGTTGTAACACACATACTTACAATCGAATGCTTACGTCACTATCGTTAGATAGTTTGACTTTCAGCCATAAAGAGTTTTAGAATAAGATAAGTTATATCAAATGTAAATCATTTCAATTAGAATGACCAGGACAAATTCATCATGAGTTCTGTTGGAAAAAAAAACAAAACAAAACAAAAAACCTTACTACACAGAAGCATTCTCCAGCTCATATCAGTGAGTATCTTTAGTACCCAATAGAAGTCTTAAAAACCAAACCCAAAGATTCCAGGATTCAGGCTAACTCCAGATCTTACAGAGAGAATACACAAATGAGCCTAAAACATCTTGCCTTATCGGGAACTAGGGGAAGAATCAGAGAATCCCAGATTCCCAGAGAAGACCACACGATCTCTTATTTTCTTTGCCCTCTGGAGCTCTGCCTTGCTCACAGTTTTATCTTCAGTGCTGGGAAAGTGTTTGCACAGGTACTGGGTGGATGAATCCAGAGCGAAGTACCCAGACCTGCCAGGAGAGAGACAGCCAGCCCCCAAAAGTCCTCTGGGACATCTTGATAGCCAGCTCCTAGCCTTGTGAATGTCCTAACTGGGGCGAGATACCATTTGTGAAATACCTAGGTCCTTACCAGCAAAGGCAGGCCCAGTCCCACCCTGCCACTGATCTAGTGACCCTGTTTCCGTGCCATGGCCCTGCACCGGATTGCACTTGTCTTTAGTGAGGATTTCTGGTGAAAAGGAAACCATGAAACTGAGTTTGCACAAAGGAAGTTCGCATACAGAAAAGCGCCTTTCTCCCTATTACTAGGGTCCCATTAAAGCTTCAGGGTTTTTTTTTGTTTGTTTGTTTGTTTGTTTTTTGTTTTTTGTTTTTTCTGAGCTCAGCCTTGGAAATAACTCCTTGTTTTATCAGAAACATTCTCCGGAAGAGGAACCTACCCTCACCACTACGGAGAGCTGAGGGTCACCTTTTATTGAAATAGTAAAGCTTTCAGAAGACTGCAGAGGAAGTTCCGCTGTCTTTAAAAACTCAGTTATGTTATGTAAACATACTTTTGCTTTAATCCCAGGTGTGGGATATAAGGCTGCTTCATACTGTCCACAGCAGAAGACTATTTGCCTCCTGCGGGCTTTGAGAAGGGCGTGATCTTTGCCAGCTGCAGATAGTTAAATTCTGGGGACTCTTCGAGGGAATAAATGCCAGGGACAGGAAGAGAAGGGGGGCCTCTGAGAAAGAAGAAAGAGAAGGCTCCTACTCCCCTGCTGCTCCCGGTTGCTGCAGTTTGCTGAGAAGTTTTGCTATCTCCTGAAAAGATTTGCTCCAAGGAACCAACCATGCCAAGCAGCAGGAAGTAGCTAAAGAGAATTATGCCCCTTCTCACCACTAACCTTCTTTCTTTCCTACCTGGTGTTGGGGCATTGGAAGGGAGAAAGAGGTATGAATAACTGCAATGAAATGAAATCGATGTTTGAAAAGACGCCTGCAGAATACCACTTAGAAAAGAAAAATATAGAAAGGGTTCTTAAAGGTTCCTTTGTGTTATGTTCCTCGGATTTGCTTATATTTAAACCTTTTATGTGGCTGGGTACAGGAAGGAGCGCCGTGTGGGGGCTGATCACAGCAAACACCAGAAAAGGACACTGTATCGCCAGGAACCAGAGTCAGAGGCAGTTGCCCGAAGAACCAAATCCATGTTGCCTCCGAGAACACCCAGCGCTCCTAACCGCCCAGCCATCCCACCAGCCCCCTTTTATTCTTCTTAAAAGGAGAAAGCGTAAGAAAAATGAGTCTGAAAACCAATGTATGCGGTAGGAAGCAAACTCAGGCAGCTCAGAGATCTGTGAGGAGCCAAATCCCAGAAGGCCTGGCCGAGAGTTGCATTCATTCCCTCAACAGTAAATCACAGAGACATCCCTAAAAGGCACAGAGCCAGGGTGAGGGGGTTAAGAACTCGGAGATGAAGGCAATTAGTCCTCTGTAAACACACCGGATCATTTCGGTCTCTGCCCTGTTCCAGGCCTACCTTCTGACCAGCTGGCATGACGGCTTTTGAAAAATTAAACATGAGCCCGTGCTCCCATAGCAATTCAACTTACACAGTGGATGCGATTTGGTTTGTGGAGGAACAGGCTTGGGTTTGGTTTTCTCTGCTTTGTTGTGTGTGAGGCCTCCTGAATGGGAAAGCCCAGGAAATGTGCTGAGTCATGATTCTGTTCCATGAAGGATTTTAACAAGCGCCTTCTTGGGGGAGGGCAAGAGCTGAGGCAGTTCCACCAGCAGGGGACAACAGAAGGTTCCTTGGCCCTTTTCTAAGTGAAACCCTGCAGTGAAAACAAGGACTATTCATGGAGATAACCTGGAACCCCTGCACAGATGTAGCCCAGGGCAGTTTAGTGTCCAAGTGGCTTACATAGTGATGGGAAGAGGGACTGCCTCTGACATAAACTGATTGGCCTGCTCTTTGATCACCTCCCCCTGAGGGGGGAGCAGCCTTACCAGGCCACAGAAGAAGACAATGCAGCCATTCCTGATGTGATCTGATAGACTAAGATCAGAAGGAAGGAGAGGAGGACCTCCCCTATTAGTGGACGTGGGGAGGAGCATGCATGAAGAAAGGGGAGGGAGGGTGGGATCGGGAGGGGAGGAGGGAGGGGCTTAGGGGGGATACAAAATGAATAAAGTGTAATTAATAACAATAATAATAAAAAAGAAAAAAAAAGAAAAAAGAAAAATCATCAGACACTGTAAAAAGAAAAGAAAACAGGACCCATGCGCAGGGACACTGGCTGCCTCCCACGGGGAGAAGCTACACTCTTGAGAACACAGAATAAAAACAGTGAGTGTTAATGGTCATCTACGGCTTGCCAGTCATCTCCACATCCTTTCTTATTTAATTCTCAGGATAGCCCTATGGTGTCATTTATAAAAGAGGGAAACAGCATCTCGAGAAGTCAGTGATGGGCTCGCAGTCACTTACTAGATATGGGAACGAGCCAAAGGCAAGATGAAGCTATAATATGTAAATGCAGATTTGTTGGGAGCAGAGCAGGAAGGGGAGGGAGAGAGAGAGAGAGCCAGCCAGAAGGGCAAGGACAAAATGGCAGGAGGAACCAAAATATCTGGCTTATATAGTGAAGGGAGAGAACAGCCCCTCCCCTAGGTAGAGGGTGGGGTATGCCAGCCACGCCCTGTCTCAAGTAGAGCCCTAACAGTCACCCAGACCCAGGGGCTGAGCTACATTGAGCCATCTGGTCATGGATGAGGACATGAACTGCATCCCAAGTGTTGTCCTGGGTTCACAGACCTCTGATGACTTCCACTGGCATCGGCTCACACCTTTCCTCCAAGAGGGATCTCATAGCTGGCATCCTTCGGACACAACTGACTTGAGAACACGCACTACCAGTGTTAAAGGTGTGTTCCACATGCTCAGGGCACTGCTCCTTCTAAGTGAAAGGGATGCAGTCTTCAGATGTGATCTCTCCTTCTCTCTCGGAGCCTCCAGTGTAAGGCTAATACTGTGCTAATTGGTGGCTGCTGAGGCCACGGTTCTTCTCCAGCATACATGTGCTCGTGAGCGCGCGTGCGCGCGCGCGCACACACACACGCACACACACACACACACAAAATTAGCAGAGATTCCCCGAGGCCATAGATTTTTTTCAACACACACACAGGGCCATGACCTCCTAGCCCTACTCCTTAGGGACTATTTCTCACAGGGACTTTAAATACTGGTGGCTGAACCTTCCCTCCTGACAACACGACTCCCTGGAGAGAATTAGATCAGCATCTGGCTCCAAAGAGAAGGGAAAGATGAAGGCTCTTAAACTCTACTAGTGAGGCCAACTACAGACAAATTCCCCCGTTCACACTCTTCTCACACTCAGCCCATGGCCATTTCCAGTGTCCAGGAATATCTCTATAGTCACAGAAGTCTCCCTTCTGGTCAGCGTAAACTTACTAAGTTCATTTAAAATGCTCCCTCTTGCCTGGTGTTGCTATTGACATAACTTCTCTGCTGGGAATATATATATATATATATATATATATATATATATATATATATATATA